ACGTGTACGAAAACAGAAGTAAATATTTTTCTGTTTGAATCTACTAAGGGCTCCCAAGTGCAAGTTATTCTTATTTATTTTATTTTTTGATGGAATACTGCAGTACACTTTAAGAGTAGTTTGACGTACATAGCATAATCAATTTTAGGCCTAAACTTGGAGAGAAACACACAAATCTATAAAAGCATTTGCGCGCGTGCACACACACCCACACAGACACTGAGTAAAAACTGTCTGCCTCAGGCACTTTGTGGCCTTTGTTGCTGTAAATTACCTTAGTTCTTGATTAAACAAAACGTCAAAGTGTCTAAGCTCTTAAGTTACACTTACACACACATATGCTGAAATAAACGCTCACACTTTTCACTATGATGTGACACACACACACACACACACACACACACAAATTCCCAATTACTCATTGGTTTGCTGGTTAATGATTTGACTTTGGAGGAGAGGGAATTAAATGGTTGACTAGGCAGAATTTTGCGAGGTGTTCAGCATCCACAACTTTTTTCTCCATCCTCCTCTCTTCCCTATCCTGCCTTCTGCCCTCCACTCTGCATAGTAATGCCTTTGAATTGAGCTGTTCATTCAGCCAAGCACAGATAAGTGCCGAATAGCAGGATGAACACAATAGAGAAATAAAAGAAGGAAGCTGGAAAAACGGGATTGGGGAGATGGAGCTTTTGGGTGGAGACAAAACATTTTTTTCTTCTCTCTCTTTCTCTCACTCGCTCTCTTTCTTACTTTTATACCTTGACAACAGTAGGAAGAGAAAAGTGTCGGCTGGACAAAAAGAAGTTAAGTGTTCTGCACGCAGTCAATCAAGTCCTCCGTAGATATACTGTATTCAGAGTTTTTTTATTATTATTTTAACTATGAAATGAGCTTAAGGGCGATATCACATTTTAACATTGCAGAAAAGTTCAAATGGGAAGGTGTTGTGTGGGCGATTGTGTGTCTGTGTGTGTTTGCATATGTGCTTCCTCCGTGCAAACTGATACATTTGTGTTTTTTGTGCATTAAATCCTGAGCCAGGACCACAGGCATTTTGGAAACTGAATAGTGAAGGACAAACATGTTGATGAGGAGCACAGGACGTGAAGGAGGATTTACAAGATTTGACAGGAAAAAGAGAAGAGAGGGATGAGTTTTGCAGAGAAAATCCAAGAAATGTACAAACAACTCCACAGGGTGGTGCTAGCCCCAGTGATTAAAGGAATATTTAAGTTTTGAAGACATTTTTAACCAGTATTTCTTCTTCCAAATTCTCTTTCTATGTCTTGGCATGCAGTTTAAAGGTATGTTAAACTGCAAATTTATCTCAGCTCAACTCAAAAAAACTGCACTTTAAAGTAGGGATATACACTTTCTGCAGCTCTGAGGAAGAAAGAAACATTTTCAGAAGTACACTGTAAACCAGAAGTGAAGTGTAATTCTTTTTTAAGTCTCTATGCCTTTATTCATTTGTTAATTGTTTTAGTGTGGTGGTTTTACAGTGATTTTCCTTCTCCTCCTGAGTTGGGCTGCCATTTGATCTCATAAAGATCCATGAGCAACAATAACGTCACCATTTGACATATATATCATACATATCAAACTGCATGCAGAAATATGAGAAAAACATTAAAGAGCTCATGAGACCTGCTGTATGCGGGAAAAAGTCAAAAGCCAAGCTATCCCATATGTTCATGAACTTGAATATGATGATTAAATCCTTTAGAACCACTCTAGTTCTTCATTTTTCAGCTAATAAGTTGACACTAGTTGACACTGGTTGACAAATGGTTTCCCTTGGCTGAATCTATTATCCTCTATTATCTAAAAAGGTAATTTTTATAGCTGGTGACATACATACAGTAGTATGAGCGAGTTGCATTCATTTCCCTCAAAAACAGCACAGCTGCCCTTGAGCAAGTCACTTAACCCAGATCTTCAGGACCTGTGCACCTGCAGAGAGTAGACGCTGCAGTTAAAGTATACTGAAGGGCTCCCTGATGAGTCATGTGGAGCTGTGTGAATGTGAAGCAGGGCACTAATAAAAAAGCTTGTGTGTGTATGTTTGTGCGCTCAGTTAACCTTTTCTGGATAAATAAAGATTAAAAATGAAAGTGAGGGAAAGGCATGAAGGAGATGGAAGCACTGTTCACCTCATGTCTACTCCCTCGCCACAGAGGAAGCTCAGTTGCTCTGAGCTTAGTGTGAACTCTTGACCATCTCCTCTTTTGCAGATAGCATATCTTCAGGGGTACATACTTGGGTCACTGAGGGAGTAAGCTCAAAGCAGAGCGTCTCAGCAGAGCTTTTTCCCCCCACGCTCATCCACTGCCCTGCCCACTTCATGTCTTATCTAGAATAACACATGGCTGTCTAGTGTCTTGCTCTTGTCTAGTTACCTGCTAGGCCATTAATGATGCTTCTCCCCAATGGTTCGTGCCAACTGTTCACTCCGTGTGTGTACAAGAAAAGCATGGGGAACAATGGTCGTGGTGTGTATGTTTGTTTCGGAGAGGAGGGAAAGCACAGAAGTGAAATAGTTCAGGGACTGTGGTGAAGTAAATTTGTAGGTGGTTTGTGGTTCTCCCCATCATGTGAAGTGAAAGAAAGAAAGGAGTTGAAATAAAGGGTCATGTAAAACAGTACATTGTACTCTTGGTAGGTGCTATTTTGTGAAACAGATTTTTCTCACATTTCTCTCTTTTCCACTGAGTAAAGAAAAACAGTTATACAGTTATGCAGTTATACAGCTACACCTCTCTAACAAAATGTCATAATAAAATCACAAGAAGAATGAAACTAACGCAATTAAGTTGGTTAAGAAACCTTTAGGCACTGTTTATCCACACATCCACACATCCATTTGAGATTTTTTTGTGATACAATGAGCAAACCGAGCCTCTCAGTCATGGTGACAGGCTTAGGACTTTAGAATGACTGGAAAAATGCAATCTCCTCCCTGTGACAATTCAACATAAAAGAGTCAATCAAGTCAAACCACGTGAGGATATTAACGATTGTCTAGATAATTAAAATTCACAATGATAAATGACCAGATCACGATAATATTGTATATGGTCCCATTCCTACATGCAATTAAGCCTTTACTGAATGCTTTTATAGTGGCCACAGTAAGTGTAGTTCTTTTGGTGCACCGGTGCCATTACATTTCTAAAGAACTGTTGTAAGTCTGTTGGCATGACTCTGTTGTAAGTCTGTTGGCATGACTGGTGAATGGCTACCATGTTGTTGCTCCAAACGCAGGAGTTTACTGTTAAGTCAAATGGTTAAACTTGTTCTTTGAAGCTATATATGATTTTACACAAATCCCAAGCCAGTGTCTCGTACGCTGTTTTGTATGTGAATAATAAAAGGTAAATAAATCAACAGACATCGGACAATTTTGCTGAGAAACGATGTGTTCCCACTAGCTTTGTACATGTTTTTATTTGTTCACAGACAATTCAGCATGATGTTTAAGCAGCTAGAAGCTGAGATTTCATCGACTGCTCTAACTGCATGTGTAGAGCAGAGTTACAAGCACCCATGAATCTTTGGGGACCCAGAAATCAGCCTAATATGAAATGATGTGAGCAAGGAGTGTCTTACATCTATTTCGGATTGAATACAATATGCAATATCCTCCTCAAATCCCCCGCAGTCAGGTTGTCTTATGGCGGACATATTAGATATGTAGACTTATAATTATTTTGTATGTTTTGTGAGTGCACACCTTTAGGGCAGGATGTGGTTAGTGGAACAAATACTCTTGCTCCTAGTCCTGAAGCTGCTTGTTTGACTGCAGGCTTGTGGCTTTGATGTATTTAATTTAATTGTGTGTGTATATGTGTGTGTGTGTGTGTGTGTGTGTGTGTGCGTGTGTTCACAGGCCTTCTCTGGGAACTCCAACTCGGAAAGCGCCGTTCGCCACGAGTTGCAGCAGGGAATCGTGGCGCGCTTCCTCAGGCTCGTCCCGCTGGACTGGAGCGAAGAAGGACGGATTGGTCTGCGCATAGAAGTCTATGGCTGCTCCTACTGTGAGTTGAGGCAAACACACACGCACAGTCTTAGTCTTTAGCACACCTGCTGCGTTTCTATTCTACTGTCTCTTTTATATTTCTGTTTTACATGAATACGCACACATGCACAACACATACAGTGTCAAACCTGTAATCTTCACATATTGTTAAATAAAAACAAAGGACATTGCTGTTTACTTGCATATTTATAGTCCCTTGGTGGCTTGTGTCAAACAGGAGTCAGTGATATTACAACACTCACGTACAACAGGTAACTAGATCTATTCACTCCAGTACTTGTAATTGTAAGTAATAATATGTAAGTATTTCCAACAATTACTATTAACATTTATAATTATGGTTCCATGGGGAGGGCCTAATGATGGTTTGTCAGCTCCAGTCAAGTCATTTTTCTTCATTATGAGCTAATTCTGCATTTGAATCAAACACAAACCCAGCGTGAAAACCTTCCTGGACACACAAAAAACCTCAATGTGCACAAATATGCAAAGCACAGTTAGAGACTGACAGACACATACAAATGCACACACTTACACACTGTCTTCCACTTTCTAACAAATGTATCATCCAGGGAACTGACTCTCTTGCAGCCTCTTTGCTCTCATCCTATTAAAGGTTGCCAAATTGATTTTGATAACAATTTTCAATTAAGGCTCTGCATAAATTACTGTTAGAAGTGACACACGTACATCTTTCATTCCGAAGATGCGATTACACTGTGTGTGGATCTGTCTGTGAGTGTGTGCGTCCGTGTGTGTGTGTGTGTGTGTGTGTGAATACAAGGGCGTGTATTGCATTCCAGTCAGCCCTCACCCCTTTCATTATATTTCCCTTGTTTCATTTCCTTCACATATTAAAATAAAAGCAAGTCAGTAATGATAAGGATGACAAGATGTGGCACAAACACAGAGAGATGCACATGTTTATGCACAGAACAATACAACACCAAACTCCAGCCCACGCTAAGTTCATACACATCCCAGGGCCCCATTCCAACTGCACTCACAAACAGCTTTAACTAGGAAATAATTCACTTCTGCTACACGTGACTGCTTTTAGTGCTTGTTGCTATTTTTGAGGCAGGTAGCAGTCAGTGTAGGACCTGCTCAGATCATTTAATAATTTATGAGCAACTTTTTTACTTATACTAATCCAAATAGAAGAAGATTAACTTTATTAATCCCAAATGGGGATTTTTTTTTTCCCTCAATGTTTTTACACACACATTTGCCTGAAATACCAACACACACACAGGGCTTACATACATGCAAATGCAGAAAGATGTTGGAGTGAGTTAGGGAGAGTTAGGTTTCGGTGCCTTGCTCAGGTGCACCTTGGCAATGCCCAGGAGGTGGAAACAGCACCTCTCCAGCTACTATTCCACACTCCATACTGTGGTGCATGCTGGTGTTCAACCAGTGACCCTCTGGTTCCGAAGCCAAGTCCCTGACTGAGCTACAGTATAAAGCATCGTGTTCGAGTAAGACTCAACAAGATATATCTCTCAACTTTAGTGAAAGACATGTGGGAACGATGAATATCGTACAGAACAGTGAAGCTGGCTGTCAAAAACCAGTAGTTATGAGAGTTGTAACTTTGATAAAACGATAAAGCCTGCACACTTGCTCACTGCCACAGAACTTTTTTTGTATAATGACAGTGTTTTGATTCTAGATGTATTTTCGTCATGCTGGTTAGAAGTCCATAGAAACAAGTATCTATACACACAGATACCAGATACATCAACACATATATTAAAATCACCAACATACAGAATGTATAAAGTAGAAAGTGGAAAAAGAGATATCTCAAATTCATGTACAAAACTAGTAACATACCTGAAACCAGTCTATACCTGCAAAGTATTTTCATAAATGGTTACTAGTTGATTTTAAACAACAGGAAAAGTTGGTTTATCCAAGTTGGCTTGTTACACTGACATCACTCTGTTTGGTAAATGTAAAAGTAAGTATACTTAGACTGACTAAAGTAGAATCACTAAAGATTACATTTGATGTAGATTTAAATTTATTTATTCTGCCGCTTCCCCACTGACTTGTCAGTAGTCTTCAAACAGTGTGGCAGGTGTTACGAATGTTTCTGCAATGGATCTGTTGAAATTTAATATCTACTGGCTCTAACTGCCATCTGAATGCATATGAGGTTTGTACATTAAAATGTCATCTCATCTCTTTAGGTTATGATTTGCTGTCCAACCATTTTCCACGTGATGCAAAAGAGGTTTTATCGCTTAAAATAATATTGTAGCCGGTTACAGCTCCCAGGAAATAAAACAAAGTAAAGACTTGATTTTCAAAGGGGGCCCATTAATTTGTAGAATAAATAATTTTCTCTCCATCAAAAATTCCCCTTCAGCCAGCCCTATAGCACATAATAAGAGATACAGTACAACAGAGACTATGCACTCCAACACCCCCCTACAGTAGAATTGGACTTAGAGGTTTAGCAAAATCTGGGCAGGAAAAGATAATAAGTTTCATTTTTTCCTGCCTGAACATGACTTCAGCCAGCACCAGCTCGAGTGGAGCTGCTCGTAGGCCAGTAGGGGAATACTGGGATTATGGTTAACTCCCACATGTTTTACCAGTGTGAAATAAATCATAATGAAATAGATCATGTGGGCTCTCTCTACTGTAGCTTTCTTTTTTTCTATTAAAATAAGACTATTATAGAAATACATTTCTGGCTTTGATATCCTGTCATTCAACAGACAGATGGACCATTTGGTTGATTGAGGTAAACAACAATGCTATCAAAAGAACATATCTATTTCTAGGCCAAATAAGCACAGAGAGTTTGATGTGTTTTTCTGACAGATATGAATGTTGTCCACCACGCCTTGACATCTGTCAGATGAGACGCATAATAAATACACAATCCGGGTGAACACATGCTTACTACTGGAATATCAGAGATAACACAGAGAGACAGAGACACTAACACACACACACCTACTCATGTACACACACCCCTTTTCGGGTGCGTCATCTTTCAGAGTTGTCTGTCAGCTGTGTTTTGAAGCCCACGGTGCTCTCTCATGATTACGCTGTCACTGCTCCTTTCTTCAGCATTCAGTCAGAAAATAAGAACTCATACATTTGTCTGTTCATCTACCCACCTTTCACTCCGCAACTCTCTGATTCTTTTAGAATCAACTTCTTGTAAATGTTTTCCTGCTTCCCAATCCAGAGATGAAAGAGAGGAGAAGTACAGTGTTGGGCAATGACAAAAGAGGATGAAAAAGGAAAGCACAAAAGAGAAGTAGTAGGAGGAGAAGGAGGCAGATAAATATGGATGTTATGTTCCCAGCATAATCACCAAATATGTTGGTTGTAGATCATAATTCTGGGTTTTGAAAATGTATGATAATTAAATGCAATGCCATATTATGACTCATCTAGGACTGTGCAATGAAAGGCTGTGTGTGTATGTGTATGTGCCAGAGCTAGAGGCTATAAAGGAGTCATGATCCACCTTGCTGTGGAATTTACATGCTCATTTCCATTTTGATTAACAAAGGATCAACAGAAAATCAATTATTTCATAGATGAGTCAGGAAATAGTAGAGCTGGTATGTGAGAGAAAGGGGAGTCAGACAGAAACGGAGAGTACAAATTTAATTTTCTGTACAAATCACTTTCACGCAAGTAGAATTTCCAAAGAATGCAAGCATATCACATCTGACTTCAACCTGTGACCTTTTTACCCCAATAATATCTAAATCTGTTGTCAGGATGATGTATCCCCATCAACAGCTGTCAAATATAAGAAATGCACTTGTGTACATTTGTTTATGGATGGCATATATTTTTCTGGAGCAGGACTGAGGCCAGACAAACAGCTAAAAGAGCATCATTGTAGCCTTCAGAGTCAGGGGTGCAATAAATATGGAAAAAGGGGGTCGGGGGGTGCATACAGTGTTACAATACAGGGCTGAGGCCAACAGTTCTTTCCACTATGGATAAATCTATATTATTATTGTAGTATTTGTGTTCATCATTTTATCTATAAAATATCAAAAACTTTGACACAATTTATACCAGATTGTAAAGTAACATCTTACATGTCATTATTTCATCTTACCAAAGTGCTATACACAACTTCCAGTTTAATGAAAAGCCAAATCCTTGGGTGTAGGTAGGTCATTCTGTGAGTGACCTGCTTTTATGCTCACAGCCACCTAATTTGCTGCTTGCCAAACGACACATGTTGCCATGGATACAATTTTATATTATCAGTTCACCTTTGATTTTGCCATATTGCTTAACACTGGCTAGCAAAAAATAATGAGTAGTGATGTGTGTGTATGCAGCCAAACTGATCTTAGCCAGTACTGGGGGGGGTACTGGGACCAGTACTCGGGCGGTAGTGAGACCTGCATGGCTCTATAATTAACATAGAGGTATAGTACTTCTGTATTATGGGAGTTTATATATTTTTTTCTATAGTGTGTCAGCTCTTTGGGCCTACACACTTCACACACACACTTCACACACACACACTTCACACACGCACCTAGATACATTAAGTTCTCAGTCATCTTTGGTCAATCATGCCTTTTTCTGCCATTTTCTCTCTGGCTGTGCAGACTGTCATTCCCCTTGCTGTCTTATAATTAGGGCTACAACTAACGATTATTTTCACTATCCATTAATCTGTCTTTTCGCGATTAATCGATTTATTGTACGGTCCACAAAATGTTAGAAAATGGTAAAAAAAATATGTCCCAAAGCCCACGGTGACACCCTCAAATGTCTCTTGTTTTGTCCACAATTAAAATATATTCAGTTAACTGTCGTGGAGGACTAAAGAAACCAGAAAATATTTATATTTGAGAAGCAGAAATCAGAGAATTTTGTTTCTTAAAAAATGACTGAAAACGATTAATTGGCTAATCATGTCTTGTCGTTTTGTTGGAAACTATACAAATTGACACATTTAGATGATCTGAAGGACAACGTGTGCAGTAAACATGTATAATAATATACTATATATAACACTTTTTTGCCATTTGAAGTAGAGAATGATTATGAATATATAGTGCACATTACTTCAGTCTGAATTTTCATCATGATTTCAAATGTAGTATCTAACTTAATAAACAGCTATAAATAATTTTTCTAAAAACAGTCACCCTTGTGCGGGTAACATGACAGTAGTTTTAAGACCCTGATAAGTAATAACTTCCAGTATTATTTATTTGAAAATTATATTAGCTGTCATGCAGCTGTCTATATTAAACTTCATCTCCATCTCAATCACCCTCTATCGCTTCACATCTCTGGAAATCTGGTGGAACACCACCATCTGGGTCAGGCTCCAGAATGGCGTTGTCTCCTGGGTTTGGGTCTGGAAACCTCTGCCATCTTGAGTGCATGCCATCACAGCTGCCCTGGCTAGAGACCAAGTAGTCGTCCCCTGTTACTTTGCTTCTCAGTGGGTCACCCTCCCTCCCTCCTTCTCTTTCATTCTCTGAATCTCACAGTGGTCTGCAGGTGGTGGGAAAGCCCTCCATCCTCCATAAAGTCTCCCTCCTGACATCAAGCACTCAGCTGCGCTGGCAACCCCTTTCTGAGCAGCACACCTAGATCTGCAATATCTCATAAAACAATTGGAAAACTGTCAACTACCACCACAGTTTCCACCATAAATGTGACAGAAGAAGATGATGAGAGTGACAGGGGGAGAGACCAGAGAGAGAGAGAGAAAGAGGGATAAAGCAAATAAAGTGATGGAAGGAAGAAGGGAAACTAAAAAGGGAAGCAAAAGAAGAGATACAATAAGATGGGGAGAAATGGAGACAGATGAAAGCGAACAAGAGAAAGAGAACAAGAACTAGTGCGAGAACAACACTGAAGAGTTAAGCAACAGAAGAGATGGAAAGTTGTATTTCCACCCAGTGAGAGGCATCATGAGATCATTTGGGAAGCACTGAAGTTGGAACAAAGGAAACAGATGTAATTCTATCCAACCCCCCCTCTGCTTGGCATAGTTGTGTGCGTGTGTGTGTTATATAAGTGAGAAAGCAAGAGAGCACGAAAGATTGAGGGACGGCGTGACCATGCATGAGTGTGTCTGCATATAAGATGATCTGATCTTTCCCAAGCTCTGTTATCCTATCATAGCCTGTACTCTACTTCTCTAACCAATCACACCACACAGACACACACTCTACTCTAACCACTTGAACAGTTGGGGTGATGATAGTAAGATTGAAGAGAGCCTCAAGCACCGCACTTTATTTCTCCTCTCAAGATCTGAAAATCTCCTCCACCGTTGCCTGTCTCCTTTCTGTCCCCCTTCTTTTTAACATGGAAACCTTCATTGTAACATGCAACTATATATATAATTTGGAGTTATATAGCATTTTATACCTGTAGTTAAGGTGTCTTAAGTTCTTGTTTATTAGACAATTGTTGTCAATTGTCCCTGCAAGCCAACTGACAGTGAGCCAGCATGTGCAATATCAGGACTCTGAAACAGAAGCAGCTAAATAGAATTCAGACATCATTCATTTTATTACTTACACCTGTGCTTTTCATACTGTGACAAGTCAAAATGTCTTCTGTGAAAAAGGCCTGTTGGCTACAGTATTCAGATTCAGATGGCGAGTACGGCCAGTAGATATTAAATTTCCACAGGTCCTTTGCCTGTTCACCTGTTCATCATTATTAGCATTACTATCACTACTGTAAATGTCTTTTTTTCTGCCTGTAATGATTTTGTGATTAAATACGGATTTCTTGACCCAGTCATTGAAGAGTGTATGCTTTAGAATGCACTTTGTCAGTTTGGGATAAGGGACTTATCCCTATCTGCACACACATTTTATTTAACTAATCCCTTTCAATGTTGCCTTTTCTCTCTGTTTCTTACTGTCTCTCTCCTCTTGTCTCTCTCTTGTGTTTCCCTGTGTATTCTTCCTCTCTTTGTATCTCAATTGTTTCCCTCTGTCTTTTTTAGGGGCGGGCGTGATCAACTTCGATGGACAGGGTGTAATCTCATATCGTTTTAAGGTATTGGATTTACTACCTTGATATTCTTTACTGTGACTAAACCTCCCAATTAAAAGTCATACTATCAATATCCTTTAAGGACATAAAGCTTGGATCCTAAAAAAATAACAAATACAATATGATATGATGGGAAAGTTGTTTTTCATATTTTTTTTCCTACCTTTTTTAATGAGAAAAACAAAATTGAAACACCTGTGCTGTTAAACAAGCATGTGGGCTTTATGGTGTTTGTTGACATTTGTGCAGGTGAAGAAGATGAAGATCATTAAGGATGTGATTGCACTGAGGTTCAAGACATCAGAGAGTGAGGGTGTAATTCTCCATGGGGAAGGCCAACAGGGAGACTACATCACTCTGGAGCTTCGCAAGGCCAAGCTGCTGCTGCAGATAAACCTGGGTGGGCAACAAATTAAAGGCAATTATTTAGATAAATTATACACTGACAGCAGGGGCTACCATGCAAGGTGCCAACCTGCTCATTTATTAGTAGTTAGGGGTTCAGTGTGTTCCTCAAAGATGCTTTGACACTCTTTCTGGAGAAACCAGTATCCTTCTGATTACTAGACGGCCGCTCTACCTCCTGAACCGTGCCGTACTCAGTCTAATGCATACAGCTACACTACACTGGTCGTGTTTGAAGCAACTTGACAAGTCAAAAGAATAATACCATTATTATAGGCTTGACAATAATCCAAAGCTTTTCTAATCAAAATGTATGCCGTGTCTGTCAAGATAACAGTATCTTGGAGCTAAGATAAACTGTCCAGGCACAGCTTTCTACCCTTTACGCTGTAAACAACAGCTACAACAATCCATAAGCGCGTGGAGTATCACTCACTGTCGACCAGCTGTGTTGCTGAAAGAACTGGTGTAACCTTTAAGGATGCCGTACTGCAGCACAGAAGAAACAACTGCAGGGATGCATTTAAGTACCCAGTGTTACAACTAAATTAGGTCTCTTACTGTATAATTACACTTAAATAAATGTCAGGTGTTCTAATGTGCATAAGGATGACTTAATTTACAAACAAATGCACAGAGCAGAATGTTCAGTTTGTGCTATGTGCTGTAAATTTGAATAAACTTGTATACATTTCATAGTCAAGTGTAGTTGATTTTCCTTTTGTGAAGCACTGGAATCATTTCTGGCCTCTTTTTTTTTTTTAGAAATCCCTGCCGGAGAAAATAAATTAATACATTAATAAATAATACATTTTGTATTCATTGCTCTTTGTTAAGCTGCCCAGAATATCAAAACCACTTAAAATTTTCAAGTGTTGCTCTTTAGCTTTCAGAGTAAAAGCATATTTAACTGTTGTTCACACTATTATATCTGACAAATTTTAATTAATTTTTGGCTTGGTGTCCAGTGTGTGTTTTTGTAACTTATATTATTATGACATGTTAATTACAGGCAGTAATCAGTATGGCTCTATCCTGGGTCATACCTCTGTCACCACCGGCAGCCTCTTAGATGACAATCACTGGCACTCAGTGGTGATTGAACGCTACCGTCGCAATGTCAACTTCACCTTGGATAGACACACTCAGCACTTCAGGACCAACGGAGAGTTTGACCACCTCGATCTGGACTATGAGGTGAGAAGCAAAGTATACTAGGTATACAGACAGAAAATGGTTCTCTCCCCTTTGAAATAAATGAAGGAATGAATCCATAATAACGTACATACGTGTCCAGTCACAGACACAGGAGATGATACTAGGCAAAACTACAGCTATACTCTTCATCTATTTCTTTATAAGACATATCAGGTTGACATCTGGTTATCAACTGGTAGACCATGGAAGGAGTGAATGACTAAAATGTCAGCTGATTTATTCAGCTACCTCAGCTTTGCCTGAATGATTGTATTTGTCTGTCAGTCCAGAGCAGCTGCCTGTTATTCAGGTGACTGGCTACTGTAAGAACTACTAGAACTGTTCATCGTAACAGCAAAACATCTGTTAAGTAGCCTGCTAGTTTAGCAGGTTGTCACAATGTGCTCTTAGTTTCTTATTTAACATAGAGAAGCACATTTTTAGGTCAACTTTATTTGTTAAGCCCTAGGTTATGTCACATACAGGTTCCTATTTTCCCAAAGGCGCAAACGCAGCGGTAGCGCAAATGCAGTCCTTTTACAAGTTTCCTTAGGCACTATTTGGTAATTTCCTGGCTCCAAACAAACCTGCTGGTGCCAAGGGGGATGGGTGGTGCAGCTGAGGCTGTGTTTATGCTGATTAGTTGGCGCAGTGCAATTCTGGGGCTAATTTTGGCATGAAATTGGGGTTCCACCTGTTCAGGCCACCTGTTATTGCAAACATAAGGCAATTTTGGTGGTTTTAGTTGGCATGTATGTTGTGTTTTGCCCCTTTTCGGGTTGTTGCACATTTTTGAATCTACTGCAAAATGTACCACTTTTAATGTGATTAAGGTGCAATCTCCAATAGGCGCATTAAAGGCTTTGTCTTAACAATAATGATATTAATTTACTGTGCTAATATTAGCAAATGCAAATACTGAGTTGAAGGTCCTCAGGTAAGGTAATCAATGCATTATTTACTTTAACACATTATTATTATTATTGAAAAGTAGTTATTATACTTCTGTGTCTTACGCACAAAGTGTATTAAAAGAGAAGACTTGGGAAAGTGTTGTTACCAGTATACTGGCACAAACTGATGGACAAAAACATAACAATGTACTGATTTGTCTTTTGTTTGTGTATTTTTGCAGGTAAGCAAACATTATGAAATTTGACTAGTGGACATATGTGTGGTGTGAATGCAGAGGGTCACGGATTAATATGGGACAACGAGTTATTGTTAGCCAAGTCAACTCATAAGCTAAGTTAGCTAACTTTTGCTGAATGTACACTTTTGAATGTTGTGTTGCATCCCAAAAGTGTGAATAGTGTACTGTAGCAGTGAAAAAAGTGGTGTTTTATTTTTATTTTTGTATTATAGTTAACCAATAAATATTTGAAAAGTAAACTGGAAACCGATATTATACACATGCAGTGCAGTGCAGTGCTGAATTTAACCTAAATAAATATAGGTTAATAGATGAGTATTAGCCTACAAGTAAGTATGCACAACTATAACCGGCAGCGTATGCTAGCAGCTGTGGCACTAATATATAATAGCTGCTTGCTCATTCTATCAATGGCAGTATATTTGGGTTGATGGACCACCTCACATGGAATGGATTATCATGTTAATACAGAATATGTACAACACTAGGTAAGGCTTCTAGGCTCTTACCTCAGTACTCCTCTCAAGGAAACTCAAAAATACTAACTTCCTCCTTGATGCCTGGTTTGGAGGTTTAGTAGCATAAAGTGGGAGCAACGCAGCACTGACACTTCAAGTACACTGTGATAATATTATGGATGTGTTGGATATATGTTGCACAGAGAGGAGTATGCCATGTTGAGTGCCATGTTGAGTGTAGTAGTGAGCTAAACTAGCTTGCAGGCTTCATTTTATCAATGTTTGAGTGTTTTGTATTTGTATTTTGAAACCTAATGTTTGGAGATGAATGTTAGTCCTCTTGAAAATAACTGTGTTAGAATTCTGGTTTAGGACCCTTAGGTGTTCTCAGATAAATCTGCCCCCGCCCAAACTGCTGGGAGTCTTAACAGGGCTGTCTCATCTTTACTTATTAATAGTCTTTATGATGATGATGTTTGTCTTCTTCAGCCTCTTTTTATCCCAGTGTTTCTACCTGTTCTTATGCACTTTACTCATGCACTTTGCAGCTGTGTTTTAAACAACCACTTATCACTGGTGGTACCTTGGCCTACTCTGTCTGTATAGTGCATTGATACCACACAGGAAATTAGATATTGGTTTTACTCTGCTATAATGATAATCCATGAAACACACATAATTATTGTCAGTCAGTAATGGAATGCAAAGAGTTCAGCTAATAATACTTAAAACAGGAAATTGATTTTGGAATGCATAATGGGTATAAATGCACTTGTGTGTAATGTAAGCGTGTGCATGCATGTGCAGCTGTGTACGGTGAATACATACTGTAAATAGGTATATGCGTGGGTTTGTGTGAGTTTGTGTATTGATATGTTTGTGTGTGAGCATGTGACCTTTAGCAGGCATTGGTAATATGGCTGATCTGTTCCATTGTTAAGTAGGATACTGAGAAATGGGGCAGGAGAAACCACAGTCCAATTAAATTGAAGCTGTTGAGTTAAAGGATCTTTAGGGAAATCTGTACAATTGGGTGAACCAGGAGGGTGTGTGTGTGTGTGTGTGTGTGTGTGTGTGGTGTGTGTGTTGTGTTGTGTGTGTTGTGTGTGTGTGTGTGTGTGTGTGTGTGTGTGGTGAACCCTGAATGGAACCCGGCAGTGTTACAGCCTGACCAAGTCTCTCTACAGATAGCAAAATTGTGACCAGCTTTTACTCAAAGTGTACCACTATACTCCCCCTAGTCCACACACTTCATCTTGTTTGTGTGTGTGTGCGTCTTTCCGGACATGTGTGTGCACGTCTGTACATTTCTGCTCCCATTTAAGCCTGTAGACTAAATATCCGGGTGCATTTGTGTCTACCCTTGGCAGTAATTACTAAGACTACTGGAGCGTCACCACAGACAGATACAAACACACACGCACACACAGATAAACAGACACATATCGACTGGTAATTGCACACCACCCTCTCTCATTTCGGCTTCCTCAGAGCTACATCTGAAAGAAGAAAAAAACACATGTTCAACTGTAGAAAAATATGAAAATGTAGTTTACATTTTCATCAGTTCTGTGTCCTTCAGCGCTTCCCACCAGATGCCTGTTTATTAGCCTCAATCTCCTCACCTCAGTTCTCCTCTCATCGCATCTGTTCCCTACACAAACCACTGTCTTCTTCTTTGAATGCTTTCTCCCACTCCTCCAGCAGTCACTTTATGTAAATATATATAATGTATATGTCAATAGTATACTGATATCAAGGTGTTTTGTTAAAGAAATGTGATATTAGATTGTTTTACCCCTGCAATGCAGACCCAACATCTTGTGGTTTAGTTTGGGGTTGGCACTAATTTTCATGTATATATAATCAAGAGGCGCGACTGTGGATCAGACCTGGTCCATCCATCTTTGCATTCATTAACAACTGGCCCAAAGGTGGCGCTGCAGTATGTGTCATAAGCATATATATTTATGCCATTTACTTTTTTTTTGGTCTTCCTCTTATCCAAATTGTTACCAACAACCAAATAAAATGGGCCCTTTTAACACAGTTACACCTATTACCACATCTATATGAGACTATTATGACATTTAAGTCAATTTGACACATTTTTGATGTTGTTCACTAAAGGAAAGTATGTATTTTACTTCCCCAGTTGTAAGACTTTTACCATAAACAATAACTGATTGAGATGACATGAAATAGTCCATAGAAATTGAACATTAGCAGGTCTATTTGTAGTGTTGCTACTGTAATCCCTGTTTGTGGGGGAATGGCCAAGCAATAATGCCAGAATAGAACATTTTAATATGTTACGTTTATTTAGCTTTTTGCAATGATCTAGCAGTAGAGGGAGTAGCTAATCTATGGTAGTCTTAATCTTACTGTCTCTTTTTTCCTCTGTTTTTCTCTAGTTGAGCTTTGGGGGGATGCCATACAGTGGGAAGCCAGTGGGAGGAGGGCGGAAGAACTTTAAAGGCTGCATGGAGAGCATCAACTACAATGGAGACAACATTACAGATCTGGCCCGCCGAAAGAAGCTAGACACCTCCAGCTTTGTAAGTGACACGTGTGACACTCTCATATACATATACACATATATATAAACTCAACTCCATTATAAACCCATAAATGTAAAAAGCTTGAAATAACATGCTTATAAAGGCAGCTGAATGCCGAACAAGCTCATTATTGTCACACTAACTTTGTATCTGACCTGAGTGAGGGGGTAAATTATTCACTGTACCAAAACAGTTTAACAGATTCATAATTAATCAGATACAGCTGACCCATCAGTGGCCCCTCCATGTGTTTGCCTCCTGTCTTTGTTCTCCTGCTTGATATCATGGCTGCCATTTCACTGCAGCCTACAGACAGAATTTCATTGCAAAGTACTGTGGAGCAGATTGTTTTCAACCTATCACAACAGAATAAGGAATGCATTCAATGCTTAAATGCTTTGCTTCTTCCCATCAAATGCATGGCACTCTGGATGACTGCTGGATGTAACTTCAGCACATTAAGTGTTTTGCCATCCTTAAAATTAGTTACAATAGACTCAGAGTGTCAGAGCTCTCGTGTCTTCCCATCTCCCCGTTCTCCCTCAACAGTGGACAGGCAGTGTATCTCCTTCGATCTCTGGTGAACTGATTGAACAAATGGAGGCACTAATCAAGTTTGTTTAAAGCAGCACCTCTAATTCTCTCTGATAACTCACACAACCGTTCATTTCTAATCAAAACAGATCTGCTCTCAGATTTCAGAAACACACACACACACACACACATACACACACACCTACACAAACTGGCAGAGGCAATCAGGAATCATCTTTAGTTGGTAAGGCAGCTCAGCATTGAGTGTTTGCTAATGAATTGATTAACAGCACAAGGTTGGAGAAGCTCAATGGTAATTAGTGCCTAAATTCTACAATAGTGTTTGTTTTCCTCCAGCACACAAACATCACCCAGGTTACTGTTTGGCCTTGGTTTTAAAGACAGGGTGAGCCAAAAAGACACATTTTTGTAATGTGTACAAGCAACATCAGTCTTTAAATCTAGCTTCAGTCAGGAACATCTGAAGGTAAACATGCAGAAGCTAGACAAAAGCAACAAAAGCCTGGTGAATAAATACATGATTTCCTAAAGTGTTGAGGCATTTAAAACATTCAAAGAACTTCACACACAAGCCAACATTCAAGAGATTAGCTTTGCTTTTGACTTTTCTCTTTGAAAACCAATTGATAACTTCCTATCATCTCTCTTTGTTGGTGTCTCTCTCCCTCTCTCTGAATCTCTCTCTTGACAGCGTAACCTGTCCTTCTCCTGTGTGGAGACCCACACCTTCCCGGTCTTTTTTAATGCCACCAGCTTCCTACAGCTGCCAGGCCGAGCCAATCACAACACAATATCTGTGAGCTTCCAGTTCCGTACGTGGAACCCCGATGGGCTCCTCCTCTTCAGCAATCTTGATGATGGCACGCTGGAAATCTCCCTCGAGGACAGCAAGGTCGTAGTTCGTATCAATGTGACAAAGGAAACCGGCAACAACCGGGTAGACCTTTCTTCAGGTGAGTTTGTCCACAGATGCACCCACATACACACACAATTTAAACTTTTTGAAGCTGTTTTGTTTTGTATTACATTGACTGATCATCAGTATAATTAATAAAAGTAATTAACCCATTGCACGGAAACTAAATAATTCAGCTATTTATATAATCATTAATTGAAAGACAATTTCACTGTTGAATATTTTGTTTAGGGTTTTTTAAAGTGCAATGTTTGAATTTTTTAGGACAGCTGAGCTGATGTTTTGCACATGTGTATCTGGCTGGTGTTTCGAGTGTCTGGTACAAATTAAGACAATGTCCATGGCTGAAAGTTTGTTTTTTCTTTTTTTTAAGGCTTTATTTTACTTATGGCTCTACATTATAACCAGTTTGTCAGTCAAATATATTTGTATATTTTTACCATCTAAGGATCTTCTGTGATATAGAGCAGCAACATGGGTTAAACATCTATATATATTTGATATAAATCCGCAATGATTTGTACAAAAACTACATTATCCCATCAAAACAATTATGGCCATAGTCTCAATTCATACATTCCCCTCTGGGTTAGAGCTCACCTTCTCACAGACTCTGTCTTGACATGGTCTTAAGCCCAACAACACTGATAAACAACTAATGAAACACATAATGAATGTTTTTAAGCTGTAGGTATAAGATCCTGTCACACAAATGGGAGTCAACAAAGTAAACAAATCAGCAATTCTAGCAAAAAATGTTTGTAACTGTTAATTAGCATCTTTAACTTTATACTTAGTATGAGGAGGACAGGCTGTTTTAGTATTCGAGTTCAACTGCTGTACATGAGGCAAAAATGTTGAAACACATTCATCATTAAGGTAAAAATCAAATTGAAATGAAACTTTATTTTCAACAAGTCTGTCTACAAAGGCCCTTTTAATTCCATTTCTCCCCCCTCCCCTTCCTCCCTTACTCCCTACTACCCTCCCTGCCTCTTCTTCTTTCTTTCTCCCTCCCTCTCTTTCTCTTTCCTTAGACACACTCATTTATTCTGTCCACTGCTGCTTTAATAGGCCATTATGCCCAGGGGTAGGGATTATTACAGAGTTACCCTCTAGGCTAATTGGGCTTGAGCCTGCGATTACATCAGTATTACTAGAATATACAGACACACAAACAGAGACTCGCACACTCAAACACAAGCTCCCTCCTTTGATTCTGTTATTAGTATCTCTAAGAAAGAAAGCCACACTGGCTTCTGGCTTCAATGACACAGTGGGAGCTCAGTAGACTTGTAATGAAATGCTTAGTCCCTCTAAATGGCAAATATACTGTGGAGAGATGTGTAGATGCGCACACACTTAGAAAGAGAGAGAGACAGAGAGTAAAGAGCAGTTCTTACAGAGACTACATAATCTATTTTTCTTTTCCCAGTGGGGATAGTTAGTTTATGAAGCGGTTTAGCGACAGATTAGTCAGACATATAATCAGGCATCTGCTAGAAGGTAAAACAATACAGGCTTTTCCTTTCAATTGTGACGTCTAACCCATTTTACCTTTCAAATGTCCAAGGCTTATAAACAGTGCATTTATAGCCTTTAGTAAATCACAAAAGGTGGTATCACACTGGTGTAAATTACTGTTTTATAGGAGAGAGAAAGGAATAAATGGATTTTTAATGCAAGACATAATTTTTGGCGTTGAACATGTCAAAAATTATCCTTTACAGAAGGTACATTTTAAAAGGTTGAGTTAATTCTTATAACATTAGAAATGTGGGCAGAACATATAATAATAATACATTCATATAGTGCCTCTTGATCTAATCTGGGCCATGTGTACCATGAAGATATTTCTGATTGAGCACATTAGGGCACCAACCACTCACAGCAACTCTCAAATCATATGCACCACTTGATATTTACAACAGTGTGAATGTGAAGACAGGTTTCGATTTCCCACCTACTTTCGAATAAAACCAATTCACTTTGTATAAATATAAACAATGTTAGCTTAAGATGGATACATTGATAACAGAACCATAAATATATTTTGCAAATATCTTCACCCTCAGTAACTGTTATTCTATTTAAAGCGTACTTGCTCATTAACCAATATTTCATGCTTTTTTTATGTTAGTATTGTTCCCTCTAAGAATGAGCACCCTAGTTTGCAGATTTCATTTTATTTTTGATTTATTCTTTTGTACAACATTGCAGAGAGATGAAATTACTGAGAGCCTAATTTAGAGACAAACATCTAACAAGCCGATGAGATATTTGTTTTTCTCAGGAACTGTTGGATCAAACCAAGGCCAAAATGCAAATTAATTTTGGAAATTTTGCTGGTAGGGAGTAATAAGACTCCAATAAGATGCCCATGTCATGCTTCTGCTCTGGGTGTGTCAGTAATGCTAGATAATCCTTTGAGAACACATTATCCAATAGAATATACCCAGGCTCATAGATGTGAGGTTGTTCTGGAGTCTACTTCTGCTCTTTAGCAAAAATTGTTTAATGCCGATAGCAGTACTCTTTTGGCTGTGTGTTATTTTTAAGTGTTAAAATGTGTGTTCTGTGTGTGCAGTTGCAGAGAAATGTATGTTTCTGGTGGTGTTTGGTGTGTGTGTATATATACATATATATATTAATATTGTAAGACGGGAATATTTATGTCTGGATCAAAGAGATGATTCATCAACCTTTTTATGCATGACTGTATGAGACTCAAACTGCCAGTTTGTAAATCCTGTAAGGTTTTTTCTGCAAAACCCAAGTGAATCAGCAGCAGTAGAGAGGGTAGATGAAGAAAGGCAGTTAGTGAATAAAAGCTTCACATCTCTGATAGCATCCAGTCATCTGAATATCTCTTCATAATCTAGTTCTCTCCACGGTGGGTCCCCCATGTTGTTAAAGTCCATTCTGTCCCCTGATTAGAGACAGGGCTAAGGGTACAGTAGATATCTGCCTGCTACTGGGAACACACACAAAGTAATCCCCCTATGCATACACACATATTGAAAAAGTAAGTGTTTACGGATATGTGGTCTTGTCTTGTACGTGTGTGTGTGTGTGT